GGAGGGCTATGTGTGTGGGTACCTCTTTCCAGAACTCATCGACTTTGGGCAGGGTGTCGTCTGGGCGAATGTCACACTTGTTGGCCACCTGCACCCCACACACACTCATATCCGTGTGTGTCAGCGCCTCTTTGGTGGAGTCATTGCTCACCACGCAAGAGACCTTCTCCACCACTTGCCGCGAGTAGGCGGCCACTTCTCGCCTGAGCGCCTCGAAGGTCTGCAGGGGCGGCAGTGGGCTGTGGGCCATGTCCACCACATAGACCAGCACCATGGTGCGCTCGATGTGACGCAGAAACTCATGGCCGAGGCCGATGTTGATGGACGCGCCCTCGACGAGGCCGGGGAGGTCGGCCACCGAGATGGTCTGCCCGTCGGCGTATTCGACGCGGCCGATGTGCGGCGCCAGGGTGGTGAAGGGGTAGGGCGCGATCTTGGGACACGAACGGGATATCTGCACACACACACACACGCGGGGATGACAGGTGGAGGGATGAGTGGGTCTGTGTGTGTGTGGCTGACCGCTCCGAGGAGTGTCGACTTCCCTGCGTTTGGGAAGCCCACCAGGCCCGCGTCAGCTATCGATTTGAGCTCCAGCTCCTGCACACACCATCGGAGAGCGGCACACACATGGTGGGTGGATGGCGGTGTGTGTGGGTGTGAGTCAGCTGACGATGAAGACGCTCTCGCCAGGTTCGCCCTTCTCTGCGTCGTGGGGGTTCCTGACACACAGACAGATAAGATGCAGTCATCTCGCTGTCGGCGAGATTGGTTTGTCTCGGTTACATGCTCGTGTTTCCTCGCCCGCCCCTCCCTCCACGAGCCAGCAGAATGCGCTCACCCTGACAGCAGGCAGACACCGAGGCAGATAGGTGCATCAACACGTGAAGGTCTTCCCTCTGGCTTTGCTCACCACATCGTTCATGTCGGCGATCAGCTCCTTCTCATAGTTCCCATGCCACGAGAAACTGCATCCACAGCAGATGACCACTCATACGCACCGCGTCAATTCCTTTCTCTCACCCAGGCTCGTCGACGGCCATCTCCCGGCCCTCATCATCATCATCATCCTGCTGCTGCTGCTGTGCCATTTCCCTCATTTGCTCTTCCACGAGTGCCTCTTCGCTGAGCCACTCCCTCTCGATGGCCACGGGCGGTGCAGACATCTCAGCTGGGGGCTCCTCCGTCCTCAGCCGCCATATCACACAGCCGCGGGGCAATGTCAGCACTTTGTGAGCACCACTCGCACCGTTGGCGCGATTCTTCTGCGACACACAGACCCGCAGCGGAGAGATGGCAAATGACCCGGTGTGCTCATGGTGGTGTGTGTGCTTCCTCACCCATCCGTGTTCGCCGGGGTCGGCTTGCATGACGCCCTTGAGGTGTCCCAGGATGGTGTCCACGGGCCGAGTGGTGATCTCGGCGAACACGGAGCCTCCCTGACCTCCAGCCCCACCGGACGGCCAGCCTGCCAAGGAGAACAAACCAGCCTCTCGGTGCGTCGTGTGTGTGTGTGTGATTGTCCTGCAGTGTGCCGATGACTGACTGACCTGGGCCGACCATAATGTGCTTAGCATGCTTGATGTACTTGACCACTCCGTCGCCGCCCCTCCCGCCCCGCACCTAAACACACACACACACACACGACACACGAGTGAAAGCCACTCATCAACGCGCCCGAAGACCTTTGCCCCTTTCTTGTCATTCTCACTCGTATTCGCCGTTTGTCGACCAGCGACCGAGAGACCTGCACACGCCGAAGAACCGATGTGGCTTGTCTGCCTGTCTGCCTCACCCCCCCC